TCGAGGCCAGTTGTCCATTTTGGGTTGGCCAGTTGGGCGGTTGGTGAAGTTTGGTGCAAAGGCCTATGCCTTGCGCAAGTCTTGGCAGTCACGTTATGCTCCTTGGCGAGAAGATCGCGAAGAAGTTCAAGTTTTGGGTCCTGATGCCAACTCATCACTGACCAACACTGGATACTATGTGCGATCTGTGGCAACGGGCCGCCATTTCTTCACTGATGACATCATCATCCCTGAGGCCAGCCAACCTTCTGTTGAAGATCAGGTGTTGTATCTCCCGGAACGAGTAGCTGAAGTTCCCGCTCGACGACAACGTCGCAAAGCTGCTCAACCTGCCATATCAATGTTTGACATTGAGGGGGAGAAGCAAATCCTGGAGCGATGTTCCGAAATGTTTGAACCACCAACACCCTCACATCATGGAGCTTCAAGCGACAGTTGGTCTTTGGAAACCTCTATGTCAGAGGATGGAAGTCCGCCGAGAAGGTTTGACTATGAGGAGGAGGAATTGTGGCTTGGAGGTGGGGATGAGGAGGGGGTGCCTAACTCTCGGGCTGGTGGCGCATACCCGAGGACCCCACAACAAACAACTCATGCTCCTGCTCTACGAAGACTTCATCTCAATGTCACTGAGTACATCAAGGAGGAGTTGCACCACATCGATGCGTCTTCAACTGAACAGGCGCTATGGATGCCCGTGGTGACTGAAGCGATCATCAACCGGGTGAACTTGGAAGAACGACTCCTCTCAATGGCAGAAGTTGAGACCAAAGAAGGGCAGCTTGAAGAAGAGTTCCTGGTCACAAGAACGGTTGGGAACAAGGAGGTGTGGGAGAATATGAGCGCCTGGGAAGCTTCGATACGAGCTGAGTATCAGCAGCTTGTGGTGCAAAAGGAGGCGGTGAAACAAATGCCCAAAAGCAAGCTCTACGAGATGGCCGAGAGCAAGCAGCTTCCCATAGAACTCCTACCAGGAAAAATGGTGCACACGAGGAAGGCGGGAAGCGGGGCATATCGCTCCAGAGCAGTTGTCTGCGGCAACTATCAAGAGGCCAGTGCAGAAGAGCGATACGCTGGGGGTGCGGACGGAAACCAAATTCGGATGATGCTCCGAACAGCTGCGCTCAAACGATGGGCTCTGGCTGGCACAGATGTGCGGGTTGCGTTTTTGAACGCACCAAAGCGCAACGCCAACAAGTTGACCGCCATGGAGGTCCCATATGTGTTCAAAAAGCTTGGCCTGGCAGCAGCAAGCGACGTGTGGCTGATAGAAAAGGCTCTCTACGGCCTTGTTGCATCACCCAGAGATTGGTGCATATACCGGGACGAGGTCCTGCCAACTTTGAGATGGACACGAAGCACTGATGGCGAGGACTATGCTGGTCGCTTTGTGCACTCTGGTGATGACAACATGTGGAGGCTGATGGAGGTGAACACCAAAACGGGCCAAGAAACATGGGCTGGGCTGATGTCGGTCTATGTTGACGATTTGTTGGTGTCAGCGGAGCCAGAAACAATTCAGGCAGCGATGGATGCGGTGGCCAAAACATGGACTATCTCTGCAGTCGAATGGGCCTCAACCGACAAGCCGCTGCGGTATTGTGGTTTTGAAGTTCTAGCTGATGAACATGGTGATGGATTTCAAGTTGCCCAAAAGATGTTTGAGCAAGAACTTCTGAGCAGATGGGCAGTTTCAGAATCTCTGGCCTACCCTGCATTCAAGATCAACGAGGAGGACGAGTTGGTGACCTCCGAGATCAGTCAGGCCGACATCAAGAGCGCACAAGCACTTACAGGAGCTCTTTTGTGGTTGTCAACAAGGACAAGGCCAGACTTGGTGCACGGTGTATCGGTGATGTCACGCTTGGTGACCAAAAACCCCAAGAAGTCTTTGGAGATTGGCCACACTCTTTTGAAATATCTCCATGGAAATCCTGGTGGAATTCACTTCCCAAGTGGCGTAGCAAATGGTGAGTGGGGAGCTCGAGGGCAACTCAAAGTGAGACGCCATTCCAAGCTGTTGGAAGTGTATGCGGACATCGCATATGCAGCGGGGTCAAACCACCGCAGTGTGCAGGGCCTAGTGATTTGCTATGCTGGAGTTCCTGTGGCATGGCAATGCAATCAACAGCCATTTGTGACGCACTCAACAGCTGAAGCAGAGTTGGTATCTTATTGCGAGGCTCTTTTAGCAGGGCGTGCCTCAGAAGCTCTTCTATGTGCCATTTGGGGGGAGGATCTCAATGCCAACACGTTTGAGAGAGTGATGTACGGCGACAACGCCGCAGCTATTGGCCTGGCGCATGGAGTCACGGCGGCTTCATGGCGCACTCGACATCTTCGAATCAGGTCGAGCATTCTCAAAGAGGCCCTACATGAAAGTTCTGATGTTCCAGGTGGACGGTGGCAGCTGACCCATCTGAAGGGCACAGAATTGGTGGCCGATGGATGCACGAAGCCTTTGAATGGACAGGCCTTCTTCAGATTTTTGGAGGATTTGGGCCTGAAGCGAGGTGTCAAAGCTGAAGCTGGAGAAACGACATCAACTGGTGATGGAACAATGATCGGTGGTGGAGGTGGTTTTGCAGCCGTGAAGGCGCTGATCCTGGGGAGCACTTTGATGACAGCAGCTCAAGGTGCATCAGGTGAAAACAGTGGTGGCACCGATTACACTCCTCTGGTCACAACGGGAGCAGTTTTGATGGCGCTTGGAGCGGTCTATGTTGGACAGCTAGCTCGACAAGCCTCAGATTGCTGCCTCCGTAGATTCAGAGTTTGGGAGGATGGAAAACGATGCCATGTCACGAATCAAGGTGAAGAAGCAGAGTTGTCTGATGATGGCAGCTACACGGTGATCTCTGAGGACGAAGAGCCGCAGAGGGCTACATCATCGAAATCAAGGAGACAATCGGGCTCAAAGAGCATAGGTGCGAACAACACTTCTTTAAGAAACTCAACATCATCCTGCGCAGGTGCTTCATTGAATTCCTCTTCACGATCGGGCTTTAGCACTGGTGGAAGCGCATCTAGCGATGGTGTGGGGTCTTTTTCACAAAGAATGCCTCGACAGTCGGGCCATAGCAGTGCGACTGGTGATGTTTCATCAACTATCACGGACGTTTGTGGTGAGAGCGATGCGCCTGAGAATTCTACATCTTTGAGATTGAGAACACGATCGGGCACCGCAGGATTTTGTGCAGCGGGCGAACCTGCTGAAGATGCCGAAGTCGCGGCTGCTTCGCAGAGCATTGGGGCTCTCAATAGTAGCGTAGGCGATGCTGGTAGAGGGAAGGGCTCGAAGGGGTCAAAGAAAAACCCTTGGAATGCCTTCCAACAAAGATATAAAGGCAAAGGTTTGAATTCCACAGCCATTGCACAGTTGTACAAAGGCGAAAGATCAAATTCATAGAAGATAGGAATGCCTTGAGCCTGAAGCGCAGCATGGCGCTTTTTTCTTTTCCAAACCCCGGTGGATTTCACAGAGGTGACATGGGGGAGTCCGTGCAATCAGACACCATTCGTATATACTTGAAGGCATTTTGGTACAAAAGAAAGGGATGTCTGCCCTGGGTTTCAAGAGCTAGGGTTTAAAAAAAGCAGCACCTGCTCAAACACGAACTGGATCATCATTGGCTCTCTATTCCATTCATTCCCAGTAAATTTCCATGTTTGTTGGCTGAATACTCATCACTTCATGGTCAATCAATCAGATTCAGTTGCTTATATTACTCCCCGTAGGTAGATAGATAGATAGATAGATAGATAGATAGATAGATAGATAGATAGATAGATAGATAGATAGATAGATAGATAGATAGATAGATAGATAGGATAGATAGATAGATAGATAGATAGACAGATAGATAGATAGATAGATAGATAGATAGATAGATAGATAGATAGATAGATAGATAGATAGATAGATAGATAGATAGATAGATAGATAGATAATAAGATAGATAGATAGATAGATAGATAGATAGATAGATAGATAGATAGATAGATACAGATAGAAAAAGATAGAAAAAGATAGAAAAAGATAGAAAAAGATAGAAAAATATAGAAAAAGATCGAAAAAGATAGAAAAAGATAGACAAAGATAGATAGATAAAGATAGATAAAGATGGATAGATAAAGATAGATAGATAAAGATAGGTAGATATAGATAGATAAAGATAGATAGATAAAGATAGATAGATAAAGATAGATAGATAGATAGATGGATAGATACATAGATAGGTAGATAGATAGATAGATAGAGATTAGATTAGAAGAGATAGATAGATAGATAGATAGATAGAGATTAGATTAGATTAGATTAGATTAGATTAGATTGGATTAGATTGGATTAGATTGGATTAGATTGGATTAGATTGGATTAGATTGGATTAGATTGGATTAGATTGGATTAGATTGGATTAGATTGGATTAGATTGGGTTAGATTGGATTAGATTGGGTTAGATTGGGTTAGATTGGATTAGATTGGATTAGATTGGATTAGATTGGATTAGATTGGATTAGATTGGATTAGATTGGATTAGATTGGATTAGATTAGATTAGATTGGATAGATAGATCGATTGATTGATAGATAGATATAGATAGATAGATAGATAGATAGACAGATAAAGATAGATAGATAGATAGATAAAGATAGATAGATAGATAGATGGATGGATGGATAGATAAGATAAGATGAGATGAGATTAGATAAGATGAGATAAGATAAGATTAGATAAGATTAGATAAGATTAGATAAGATTAGATAAGATTAGATAGGATTAGATAAGATTAGATAAGATAAGATTAGATAAGATAAGATTAGATTTAGATTTAGATTAGATTAGATTAGAGAGATAGCTAGATAGATCGATGGATGGATGGATAGATAGATAGATAGATTATAACTATATATACATTATACAGTATCCCCCGTGTATCCCCACTACATCCCTATTTCTGGGTGAACCTCCCATACCTCCCATAAAATCCCGTCGCGTGTCCAGCGCAAAGGATATCCAGACTCGCCCTCCTTGCCACCGCGGCAGAAGTCCGCCGCATGACGACGGAGGAAGTTCTGGACCTCCAGCAAGGTCGAGTTGTGTGCTATGAAAATCGGAACCCCACAGAGGGTAGACATGGCAACGAGATGTCATGTATACCACAATTCCATACACTGTCTTAGCACGGTCAAAACGCAGAACGCAAAACGCGTTTTCCGGAACGTGCGTTCCGAACGCCGGGGGGGTCCGGAACGCGAGTTTTGAAAACGCGCGTTCCGAACGCCAAACCGTACCGAAGGAACATGCTAAAGTATTTATGTAAAACTGACTGTTCTATATCTTTGGCGTTGCTAAAAAATGATCAGTTTCAGCCAGGAGAGTGGTGATTGGACCAGTAAAAAAGTTGATTTGACCGAGATGTTCTCCTCATTTTGGGATGGTTCAAACACCGGGAGAACCCACCATGGTTGGTCAAATGTCTCTCTGTTCGGCGGTCGCAACTTCAAAATCCGGTTTGAAATGTGAGACTCTCCTCATTACCCTCTGGTAAACTAACATAACTATGGAAAATCACCATTTTCAATGGGTATCGCAGAATGAAACGAAGAATTGGGGGGTCGTCTGCTGCACCATGCGGCCAAACTTGGAGATGTGAACCCATGGACCATGCGTAGAATGAGTTTGAAAAGGACATGCAATAGCCATTGCCATATAGCCATCAACTATACATATACTATTATTAGTATCATTGTTATTGTTATTATTATAATATTATTACCATTAATATTATTACTTATTATTATATAAATAATTGACCACATTGAATCACAGTTTAAGATAGTCTTTGTATCTCAAGGGGACATCGCGAACAAATCTGTCCGTTTCAGCTAGACTTGGTCGGAACATCTGCAGACTCTGCCCTTTTTGTCTGGGTCCGTAAACAGCATCGCGACGCGGTCACGACGGTCACGACGCGTGACCGAATCCATTTATTGTCCCTTGCTGAGAAACATACGTGTTCCTCAAACTCTTAAATCAACATAAATCAACCATGACTTGAACATCTTAGACCATTCATAAAACCTCTACACTACGCTTAGGATTTCTGGTTCAGATGTTCCTGTTTCGTATCTGTGTTTCACAAAAACAACTCCCGCCTCTCGGGTAAATGGCTCCTCTGCAGTGGAGATTGCAAGAGACGAAAAGGGAGAAGTCGTTGTGGGCAACACACTATCTATCTATCTATCTATCTATCTACCTACCTATCTATCTATCTATCTATCTATCTAATCTATCTATCTATCTATCTATCTATCTATCTATCTATCTATCTCTCTCTCTCTCTGTCTGTCTGTCGGTCTGTCTGTCTATCTATCTATCTCTCTCTCTATCTATCTATCTATCTATCTATCTATCTCTCTATCTATCTATCTAGCTAGCTAGCTAGCTATCTGTCTGTCTGTCTGTCTAGCTATCTGTCTGTCTGTCTGTCTATCTTTCTGATTTCATGTCTACCTAACTTCTAACTATGCAATCTAATCTGATCTAATCTGAACTGATCTACTCTATCTATGCAATCTAATCTAATCTAATCTAGTCTACTCTAGTCTAGTCTATCTATACCTATTATGGTTCTATATATATATATTATATTATATATCATATATATTATATTATATATATTATATTATTATATTATATTATATTATATTATATCATATTATATCATATTATATCATATTATATCATATTATATTATATTGTATTATATTGTATTTATTACATTATATTATATTATATTATATCATATTACATCATATTATATCATATTATATATATTACATGATATTGCATTATATTATAATATTATATTATATTATATTATACTATATTATTATGTATATATATATATATATTGTATATGTTTTGTTATATTATATTATATTATATCATATTATATTATGTGTATATATATATATTGTATATATTATATTATATCATATTATATTATATATAGATATGTGTGAGTGTGATGTCTTCACAATTCCATAACTGCTTGGGGTTCTATATGAAATTCTATCTTACTTGTACTAGTTGCTAGCCTCTGGTACTCAAAAAAAATGCTATGAGAATACTGGTTCAATGGCCCTCTTGGTTCAATGATTTACCATTTTAACATGGTGATTTTCCATGGCAAACTGGAAACGTTTACTGGAGGCTACAACAACCATCGATTTTCGCCATGATTCCCCAGGCGGAATCGAATCCCTATGCTTTATGTATCACTTAAGTCAAATCAAGTCACATCAAGTCACATCACTTGAATCAAGTCAGGATGTATTACTATTTAGATGTACTATGATTATCTATTGTACAAATGTGGATGTACTGTAATGCCCCACATTTAACATTATTCTATTTAGATTACTATTTAGTTGTACTATATTATTTAACTAACCAATGCCCCATGTGGATCAAACCACATATCCAGCATAGCCGCATATCTTGGTGATCCAAACCCCTAACGACGCCAGTTTTTCACGGGAAAATCTCGGTTGGTTGGTAAATGATGGGGAGTCCCAGTGGAATGATGATAATAATCAAAAAAAACGATTGGATCACAGATATTCGAAAAATGTTTACCAACCATCGGATAACTCTGCTGGGTGGTTTCAACCTACCCCTCCGATAAATATCCTTGTTCGTCAGTTGGGATGATGATTCTTCCCAATATATGGAAATTCCCAACTGAATGGAAAGTCATAAAAGCCATGTTCCAAACCATCAACCAATATTTATATAGTGCATATTTAGCACCCATTTATGTCAGGGAATGGTTCGAAAATGTTGCCAACCATCGGATAACCATTGTGTCATCAATGATATCACCAGTTTTACCGTTCCCCCGTCTGAATGATGCGTTGAATCCCAATCGAGACTTGCTCGTCCCAGATGACAAACATTGACACCTCTCCATAGGATTTTGATGGGATCCCCAAGAATGGATGGTTTAACATAGCTATTGAAAATGGCCATAGCTATGTTAGGGTTTATAATGGAAAATCTATGAAAATCCTATGAAAATTGATGTTACTTCATGGAAAATCATGGAAAAACCATCTATAATAGAGGAAAATCCTATTAAAATGCTATGAACATGGATGCTTTTTCATGGAAAATCATGGAAAGACCATCTATAATAAGGGAAAATCCTATTAAAATGCTATGAAAATGTATGTTTTTTTTCATGTAATAAAGGAAATTCCTATTAAAATGCTATGAAAATTAATGTTATTTCATGGAAAATCATGGAAAAAACATCTATAATAAGGGAAATCCTATTAAAATGCTATGAAAATTGATGTTATTTCATGGAAAATCATTGAAAAACCATCTATAATAAAGGAAAATCCTATTAAAATGCTATGAAAATTGATGTTATTTCATGGAAAATCATGGAAAAACCATCTATAAAAGGGGAAAATCCCAATCTGGAATGGATGATTTAGGGGTACCCCCATGACTTAGGAAACCTCCATATGTCCAATGGAAAACATTGCCTAACCAACTGTAGAATGACTAAAATGAAGCTCGCCTTTTAGTTAATTCAACTGGCTCAAATAGAGAAAAAAAACTATAATTCCTATTGGATACCCATGGTAATTTAACATTGCTATGGAAAGTCACCGTTGATAAATCAACAAACATTTCATGGGCCATCTATGCCATAGCAAACTCTTAAATTGCTGCAAGGTATTTCCAATTGATGGTGACAAATATCCCGTATCCCTGGTTAAAAGTTCCCTAAATTCGTGGGAGTTGCAGTTCCACTTATAAATAGATACATAACCATATTTATTGAGGTATATTGAGATTATTTTCATGAAACTTATGAAGTGAAATTTACTGCTTCTAACCGTGAAACTATGGTTACCCTCACCAAGGAGGTCACAGATCGCCTCGCAGAAGCCTTTCAGAAAGGGCGCCAGTTGCCAGTCCACTTGACATCTCGCTGCCTGCGCACTGGCTTGGCTGAAAATCATCATGTAGAACTAGGCCATCATACAGCAGTATATATATACATATAGATATATATATATATACATATATACTGTATGATTCCACTTATGAAACACCATGGGCATGAAAATACTAGATGTGACTCTTAAGCTATCCAACTCGGGGTTGTGTTTACAAACAGATTTTCCGGGGGGGCACCACCTCGTAAGTGGCGATGAAGAACCCTCAAAACTAACATGGAAAAGGCTGGAAAATGCCTTTTTTTCATGAGAAAATGATTGGAACAACTCACGTGCACTGGCTGGCTGATTCTCCTTTGGCCACAGTGCCAGATTTACTCTACCGTAAAAAAAATGGATGGTAGCTAATACTTCTATCCTGATGTTCACATTTAAAATAGCTGAAGAAAGAGGTTCTGAAAATCTCTGAAATATAATATTTGGATGTTATGCTTTGTTTTTTTAATACCATGTAAATTTTATACATATATCTGGGTAAATTATAGTAATTCATTAACCTGAAATAAGGCCATTTGGGGATGATTTCCCTTACTAACCATGATTCCAGTGAGGGAGAACAGTGAGGTCGTTATAATTTACCCAGATATATATATATATATTTATTTATATATTTATATACATAGAATTATATACATATTGAATTTATACCCTCCATCCACATGGAAATGCTGAGTGTTCCCCATCGCATCATAGGGTCCATTCGTATCCATATGCCTGTGCTGAATCATGCGGGAAGAAACATGTTTTAGGCATACATTCTACCATGAACCTGGAGAGCTTGAAATCAATACCAATCATTCAAGTATACCTATGTTCGAATGTCACTTTTTTAAAATGTGTTTTTTTCTTGGAGAGTCTCTTAAAGGTATACATTAATATGTATACATAATATAAAAGCTGGATAAATTACACAACGATTCACCCTGAAATGTTGGAAGATTCAACCTGTTATGATACCCCGATCCTTCCCATCGAGGTCGAACTGAGTCCCTATGGGGAATCTATCCACCCGGCCTGGAAAACGTTTACATAACTATGGAAAATCCACCCATTTTTTATGGGAAAATTCGAGAACGCACTTGACAATGGACTCGAGATTCGAGATTCGAGGTTCGAGATTCGAGAATCGAGATTCGAGGTTCGAGATCCGAGATTCGAGATTCGAGATTCGAGATTCGAGATTCGAGCTTCGAGGTTCGAGGTTCGAGGTTCGAGATTCGAGATTCGAGATTCGAGATCCGAGATTCGAGATTCGAGATTCGAGGTTCGAGGTTCGAGATTCGAGATTCGAGATTCGAGATTCGAGATCCGAGATTCGAGATTCGAGATTCGAGGTTCGAGGTTCGAGGTTCGAGGTTCGAGGCTCGAGATTCGATCCGAGATCCGAGATCCGAGATTCGAGATTCGAGATCCGAGATTCGAGATTCGAGATTCGAGATTCGAGATTCGACATTCGAGATTCGAAATTCGAGATTCGAGATTCGAGATTCGAGATTCGAGATTCGAGGATCGAGATCCGAGATTCGAGATCCGAGATTCGAGATTCGAGATCCGCGATTCGAGATTCGAGATTCGAGATCCGAGATTCGAGATTCGAGATTCGAGATTCGAGATTCGACATTCGAGATTCGAAATTCGAGATTCGAAATTCGAGATTCGAGATTCGAGATTCGAGGATCGAGATTCGAGATTCGAGATCCGAGATTCGAGATTCGAGATTCGAGATTCGAGATCCGAGATTCGAGATTCGAGATCCGAGATTCGAGATTCGAGATTCGAGATTCGAGATTCGAGATTCGAGATCCGAGATTCGAGATTCGAGATTCGAGATTCGAGATTCGAGACTCGAGATCCGAGATTTGAGATTCGAGATTCGAGATCCGAGATTCGAGATTCGAGATTCGAGATCCGAGATCCGAGATTCGAGATTCGAGATCCGAGATCCGAGATTTGAGATTCGAGATTCGAGATCCGAGATTCGAGATTCGAGATCGAGATCCGAGATTCGAGACTCGAGATCCGAGATTTGAGATTCGAGATTCGAGATCCGAGATTCGAGATTCGAGATTCGAGATTCGAGATCCGAGATCCGAGATCCGAGATTCGAGATTCGAGGTTCGAGATCCGAGATTCGAGATTCGAGATTCGAGATTCGAGATCCGAGATTCGAGATTCGAGATTCGAGATTCGAGATTCGAGATTCGAGGTTCGAGATTCGAGGTGTCGAAGCGTTGCCGGTGACCATTGCCACGTTGGATCTCGAAAATTCATTATTTCTATGGCCATTTTCAATAGTTATGTTAGTTTACCCGAGGGTATAATATTCCTTGGTGTTGTCATATATGGAACTTTCAAAAAAAACTGACCAACATGGGAATACGATGGACATGTCGATATTCTATCTACTTTAGGATGATTATATACACATACCATCAGATATTCAGTGAGGTCGCAGTGAGGCCCCTAGTAACTGATCCGGATATAGATAGATAGATAGAATTAGTACTAGTATTAGTATATATATATATATAATTATACATAATATGTTCCATATACACATACAGGGGATGGGTCAAAACCCATCCCCCTTCTCTTCACATCCAAATCGCTGACCTCGCCTCCTCCATGGCTCCGTTGTTGTGGCGATCCGTGACATCGCGCCATGGGCAGGGTGTTCTTACATAAGGATTTTGTTGGAGGATGAACCAACCCAAAAAAAAAACGACATAAACCCACAGTTATGGCCATGGCTACCAGTTATAACTGGTTATTTCTATGGGATAACAAACATTCTATAAATGGGGTTTTGTTAGTACTTATAACTGATAAATGGCCATAACTGCAGCATTCGGACCATGTTCACCAATAACTTGGTTTCCCAAACTATAAAAAGTCTGGGAGTTGTTCGCCAAACTTGTTCTACAAGCTGTGTGTTGTACTGGTGCCAACCTGGCTGCGGCTTGCGTCAGCAACCTCGGCTATGGCAACATCCATCATCATCATGTGGGGCAAACCACCATGATTGCCCATATATCTCCAAGCGCCAACACAAAGATAGACCATCCCATGGAACCTCCAAACTACCAGCAAAAAAAAGCACTCTGTTGGTAAACACACTCAGCAATGGATGGATGTCATATTTCTGCCAAAAAAACTCGTGCGGATGTGACTTTCCATTGGGAAACCCTCATTTTTGCGGATGTGTTTGAAAATAGAAAATAACGGCCCCTAAATAACCACTTAAATCTAGAAAATGATGTTCTCAAGCTTTGGACAAGTATTGGACAATTCGATCATCATCAACTAGAACAAACCTGCAGTTGAATATTGGACAATTCAATCATCATAAACTATAGTAACTATAGCTATGCCATTACCATTGCTATTTGTCTTCTGAAACATTCTGAACATTTCAATGTGTTTCTTTTTTCCCTCATCAGGCCACCAGACAAACCAGGCCCACCAGGTCCAGCCGGCCTCCAGGCTACAGATGAAGGCATAGGCAAATTCCGTGAACTCCTCCGGCTCTACGAAGCGCCTGGAGATTTTTGGGGACGCCCTGTGTTGGGTCGTAACTCGGACGGTGAGTTTTTTTGAAAGGAACAAAGCACGTGGTTGGAATCTCCGAAAGCTTTGGGGAGGCAACAAACCTTGGGATTTCATAGGATTTCATGGAGTTAAGCAACAAAACAGGCAGATGTAATGTTTATAACGGCAGAAATGGAGATTGAAACCAACAACATGGAACAGGCCACCATAATATTGATTTCAAACTAAATTCGAAGAATCGAAGCAAAACGAGAGCTGGGATTTGACCAAAGATACGTAGATATATTTGAGAGTTTCAATGGGGGCCAAAGCACTTGGCAAAATAAAAATTTGCAGGTGGTCTGAAACTTCAAGTTCTAGCGCTGTGCTTTTCGAGCCTCTAAATTAACTATCTCAATTAAAGCTGACTATAGCGGGTCGAGCTGATATAAAGTTTCTACAAAGACCTGTTCCAAGATCCAGAAAGATTTCTGCTATCTCGAGTCCAAGCATTGTGAAGTCTGCCACGTAATTTCATCATCGGAGACAGAAGTTGCTTCGTATGGCTGACACCCAAATTTCATTGCACAGTTTGTTGGTCAATATGGATGCTTCCATAAATGGGAGGTACCCCAATAGCTTTGTGTATAATAGAAAGTCCTATTGAAATGCATGATTTGGGGGTACCCCATGACTTAGGAATTCTCAATATCAAAAATAAATGTACTTCACATAGTGAGTGTTGCACGCCGAAACTCATCTGTTGAACCGGAATAGTTCAACTACGTCTGCAACGTTTCACTGAATCTCTACCTCCATGACTCTCCACAGGAGTGTGGGGAATGCAAAATTCTTGGGCGACCCACATGATGCAAAGCAATCCCAGCAGTTTCCAGGATGAATATATTTTTGCAAAGCTCATGTGAAGATCAAAAAAACACAAACTCTGAAGTGGGTGCGCTTCTCAAGACGACTCGCGGAAATTATCATGATGATGATGATGATGATGATGGTGATTTAAAAAAAAGCAGATACCCAATGTTCAATTTTTCAAACACCCCCATAATGGTGTTAAACACAATCATTTTCCCTACAGCCATGAACAAAATCTGGAAAAGCTCGACTGGAGCCTCTGCAGGTATTGGTGCAGCTCAGCATGCAAGGAGGAGGTATTCAGATCTCCAGATGCCTGAAGGCGGCAGTTGAACTCTTTGGTCATTACGGCTTGCTATGGAAAATTCTTCCCAGTTGGATGATTCGGTATAGATGGCCCATTTAGAAATAGATGATCTTTAAAGAAAACATGGATATGTCGAAAAACATTTCGAAAGATCTATTTCTAAAATGGCCTCTGATCCATTTATAAAATATCCATGTTAGATTTAGAAAATAGTTCGAAAACCATGGCCTCTGAAAATGCTGGGATCTTTGAGTTCCCCTAAAGGCGTGAAATCACCAGCATCATCCCACCTTTGGGGGTTTTAATGGTTACAAAGCACCATTCGCTATTAATGATTGATACATTAGTTTGTTGACCACCATTAACCATGAAAATAGCTAACATGGTCGATTAGATATGAATGGTTAACCACCATTAGCTTCTAACTATCGCTTGTAGAAATAGTTAACCACCATGAAATGGTTTTAAAAAATGGTTGAAACACGTGGATGAAACCACCAATCCATGATTAACCAGTGGATGAAATGAGGTCCCCTAATGTTTGACATTGTTTGACAAACTTATACTAGAAGAATCCTCCAGGGATGCCAACACATCACAAAAAAAAACGTCAGAAGGCCAACCAGTACTATTTAGACACGGTTTCAAGCGAGAATCACCCAACATTTACATACATTTGCCAAATACAACATCAACTAACATCATATTAATCAAATATCAGCAACCATTTTGTGAGTGATTTTAGTAGGAAATATTCCATCACCATCACCCCATTGCAAGATTTTCCAACCTCAGCTCCATGTTCCACTTCAGTTGCAGTTGTCAACTTCGGCTTAAGTCGAAAAAAACATTGAAAAATTAGAGTGTAGTATTTATACATGATACATATCATTTTAAAACACTCATATCTTTAAGCCTCATTTTCTTTAAAACATGAATCACACTCTTTAAAACGATACCCTCATTTTTGGATCCCGATTTTTTTCGCAGGCCTCGGCATGAAACGCCTCCATAATGTCCTACAGAAAGGACGTTTCCCCAATGATGTGCATCCCAATTAGTAAGTGGATATAGCCTCTGGTAAAACAACATAACGAACTGGAAAATCCACCCACTTTCATAGGTAAATCAACTATCTCTATTGGCCATTTTCAATAGCTATGTAACAAATTACCAGATGGTAATCCATATATAATCCATATATAACAAAGGATATTCTATATATAGCTGGCCTCTCAAAAATGCAAACAAAAAGCCACTTGCGAAGCTGGGATGTCCCAAAGTAAATTCATCAAAAGCGGAATTAAGCGTGGGGATTAAACCAGCCGAACATACGTATCTGTGGATAATATGTGGATAGTGTGGATAAACAGATTTACACATATTATACATTGTAGAGAATGTGGAAAATATGTGGATTCTATTTTCTTATCCACAATTATATAAACATATCTTTATATATAAGGAAAATACTTGGTACACGCTGGGGTTAACCATGAAACATGCGCCAGGGGTCATCAACTAGAAACGAAGGTGGGTAAACCAGACATAGGGGGGCAACCTTCGAAATACGGGTTACAAATTGTATATGCATTTGTTCTTGTCTATGTTTGTATATAGTAGTTGCATACGCGATGATCCGGAAAAATATAGATAAATAGATAGATAGATAGATGGATAGATGGATAGATGGATAGATGGCTAGATGGATAGATGGCTAGATGGATAGATGGATAGATGGATAGATGGATAGATGGATAGATGGATAGATGGATAGATGGATAGATGGATAGATAGATAGATAGATAGCTAGATAGCTAGATAGCTAGATAGCTAGATAGCTAGATAGCTAGATAGCTAGATAGCTAGATAGCTAGATAGCTAGATAGCTAGATCGATGGATCGATGGATCGATGGATGGATGGATGGCTGGATGGATGGATAGATGGATAGATGGATCGAGGGATAGAGGGATAGAGGGATAGAGGGATAGAGGGATAGAGGGATAGATGGATAGATGGATAGATGGATAGCTAGATAGCTAGATAGCTAGATAGCTAGATAGCTAGATAGCTAGATAGCTAGATAGCTAGATAGATAGATAGGTAGATAGGAAGATAGGAAGATAGATAGATAGATAGAAAGAAACATAGATAGATAGATAGATAGATAGATGGATAGATAGATAGATAGATAGAGATATAGATATAGATAGAAAAAAAGATAGATAAATAGATAGATAGATAGATAGGTAATGATAGATAGATGAAGATAGATTAAGATAGATAAAGATAGATAAAGATAGATAAAGATAGAAAAGATAGATAAAGATAGTTAAAGATAGATAAAGATAGATAAAGATAGATAAAGATAGATAAAGATAGATAAATATAGATAAAGAACAGATAAAGAAAGATAGATAGATAGGTAGATAGATAGTTAAAGATATATAGATAAACATATATAGATAAAGATAGATAAAGATAGATAAAGATAGATAAAGATAGATAAAGATAGATAAAGATAGATAAAGATAGATAAAGATAGATAGATAAAGAACAGATAAAGAAAGATAGATAGATAGGTAGATAGATAGATAAAGATATATAGATAAAGATATATAGATAAAGATAGATAAAGATAGATAAAGATAGATAAAGAAAGAAAGAAAGATAGATAGATAAGATAAGATTAGATTAGATAAGATTAGATAAGATTAGGTTAGATAGATTGATTAATAGATAGATAGCTAGATAGCTAGATAGCTAGATAGCTAGATAGCTAGATAGCTAGATAGCTAGATAGCTAGATAGATGGATAGATGGATAGATGGATAGACGGATAGACGGATAGACGGATAGACGGATAGACGGATAGACGGATAGACGGATAGACGGATAGACGGATAGACGGATAGACGGATAGACGGATAGACGGATAGACGGATAGACGGATAGACGGATAGACGGATAGACGGATAGACGGATAGATGGATAGACGGATCGACGGATCGACGGATCGACGGATCGACGGATAGACCGATAGACGGATAGACGGATAGACGGATAGACGGATAGATAGATCGATCGATGGATGGATGGATGGATCGATCGATAGATAGATAGATAGCTAGGTAGGTAGGTAGGTAGGTAGATAGGTAGATAGGTAGACAGGTAGATAGGTAGATAGGTAGATAGGTAGATAGGTAGATAGGTAGATATATACAATTTCAGGGAAACCTTTAAGTTTGCAGATAAAAACCAGCCTAAGCGTTGATTTTTCTTGCTCCAGTGCTGGTCACAGAGCTATGTTAGTTTCCCTGGATTCGTCCAGCCTTTTGGAAGCTGAAATTTCGTCGGCCGTTTCGGGATAAGTTGGAACCATTGGCGGCCATGAAACCTGATGAGTTTTGGAAGGGAAAGTTTACAGGTCTCCCCCCAAGTCATGGGGAAATTACCCAGCTTTCCGCTTTGATTAATTTTCAGGTGCCCTGATCAGAATTCGACTAGGGATAGCCATAACCTATCGACAGAGCGATGTTTGGATGGCCATGGCTCTATCCTCTGCAGGTCAATTCCAATCTTATCCAATCTTGGATGGATGTACGAGATACATCTCCAAGATTGCGGAGAAGAAAGAATGAATATATGCCACTGAAATACCCCTTTAAAAGAATATCAAATGCCGAAGCTACACATATTAATTACGATATGTTCATTATCATCTAATTGCCATCTACATTCATATATATATATATGTATATGAAATGATACGAATCAACACTTCAGGCCCCGGGCAAAAATTTGACCGTTTCACCCTCAATAACAACCAAGAAAAATCACCCGATGCCCACGGACTTCGAACCGCCGTCCTCGCATTCCTTTTTGGACATGTAGCGATGACGCACAAAGCCCTGGTCGTCAAAAAACTTGGGATTTTTCACGGGGGATGCAACCAATGAAGCATAGATTTACATCGAAAACCGGGGGGGTTAGCATGGGAAAGCATGGGAAAGCGATGACGATTTAATGCTTTTGATATGTTTTGATCCTGGGGCCCCCAGAATCAGAGTTTCTTTCTATCATTTGGATGCAGCTGTTGTTTGGTGTATCTCCTAGATCCACATGTTCTGTCAAGTTCCTATCCATTTGCAAAGTAAACCTACAAGTTTATGATGCGAATGGTTGTTTTTGGTAAATATGTGTTAGTCGGACATGAATTTCTGCTGTAATCATATGCAATCCCAATTCTTGAAACCGCTTTTGGTTGGTCAAAATGCATAGTTTCTGCTGGTTTTGCATCCCAGGAATCGTAAGTGGTTCATAACTATTCATAGCCCATACTTAACTGGGGTGGTATATCCCATATACAATATAACAAAAAGAGCAATAATAAGAATAACAATCGATAATAACAATGGTAATGATAATAATATATACATACACACGGGTTCGCTAAGTCATATAGTTATTCCCGACTACTGTAGCTGGGACACACATCCAAGTGGGACGTCTTTGAAACTCTTCAATGTGGATTTCACCAGGAACCACATGGAAGCACCATTCCAGTGAAGGCGCTGAGTGCGAAAGATGTTTCAAGATGTTTCAAGCTCGACCATATCATACCCAGCAGCCGAAAAAACCAGCCACGTTTCACCTTTCCGGATCTCACTTTGTCCAAACACGAGGAAAAATTTTGATCCTCTGTCAGACTTGGGGGGTACTTGGATGTGTGTCCCAGTTTGCCCATGGTTTAGCACCTTCAACATCCAAAAACATGGAAAAGTTGGAAACCTGAAAATATGAAGTAAACATATTAAATATCATCGAACTACCATTCTGGAAACACGTTTCCATTTTGGGGGTTGCTATTTGTATAATATGTGGGACATAAAACATGGTTCTTGCCCACCTACACATTTGCCCCAAGTTGGTGGATTTCCCACAACGGCACATTTCAGAACAAATCAGACCTCCCTCAGCCTCCAGTCATACAAACAGATATGGATCATTTCTGGGACCCGTGGGCGTCACCAAGTCGCCAAAGGGCCTCTGCCCTCAGGTAAGGGGGCACACTTTCATCTAGGCCTAACCTCGGCATTTTTAGCGAGAAACGGAAAGCGAAACTGGAGAAACCGATAGAAAGACAGACAGTGAAATTGAAATACTCTATGATAATTTGACATAGCTATGGGAAATGGATGGAAATGGCCCATTTATAGACGATTTTACCCTAGTAAAAAAGGTGATGTTCATTGATTTTCCATAGCTATGTTAGATTGCTAAAGGGCAATATGAAATATGGAACAACATGTTTCAAACATTTTAAAACCTATGAGGAATTAGTTATTCCAAGAAAACCATGGTAATTTTAGGGGAAAAAACACCAAATCAACCCCAGAGGGGTTCCGCTAAATTTTGGAGCGAAAAAATGGAGATACCGAGGCATCACAGCGCAGCAGCGCAGCAAGACTGAACCATTTCCTAAAAACATCAACTATGGCACGGCGTGATTTTCCAATAACATCAACATACATCAACTTACTGGTGCTTAGTTCGTAGGGAATGGATGGGTTGCTGGGGGTTGCTGGGATTATTATTGATAGTTAGCTAGTGGATCATTCCCGAAAATTCCCTACGTTTAGCACAAGTAAGTCAACTATGTAAATGTGTTTGCCGGTCTTTCAGTGCTGGAACCCCCTAGGACTTCGCTGAGAATGAGCCACACCCAGAGAGGCCGCATGTTGGAATGTATACTGTATGTTGTGGTGATTTCCAAGTGTTTTGGGAAACTTCCTGGAGTAGCAACGGGCAGAAAGGATCCACTAAACGAATTTAAACATTTTACAATTTGGGTGGACATAGACAGCAATCTCTAAAGATTGGGAACACTGCAACCCTGGGACTCCAAAGAACCTTTGTGGCGAGTTTTTTTAAATAGCCTGAGAAGAATATTCATCTGTCACCGTGTCATTCAATTCCAGATTCCGTGATTTTGTCAACCTCCCCCATTTTTGGTTACTAGGTCGATTGTTTGAATTGGTGAAATCATGTCAAATCGGGATTTTTGCACACTTGACACTGCAAAGATCATGGATTTCACCCATACCCAGGAAAAACTCAATCATGATGCTTGGGAAATGGGATTCCAAGTAATTTTCCACCAGTTTTTTAAGTTCTTAAAATAGAAATCAACTAAAAATTGAACATTCCAAGTTGAAAATCTTCCCCATATTAGCCATCCCATCCCCATGAGTTTTTTTCGAAAAATCCGGAGGTCGCTGAAAACATCGACCGGGGTTCCACACCCTGCGAAGCTGCGCTTGTCGTTCATGCTAAAGATCTGGGAGGATCAATGGGGATGTTTCCCGGTCATGGTGATTGCTTAATGGTTAATCATAGTCAATCAATGTCAATCATGGTAAAAGCATGGTTTTACACCCTATGAATGGCTAATAGTGGTGATTGTAGTTGTGATTGTATATATGGTTTGATCCTTCCTTTACGTTCTAGTAATCAATCACGGGCTGGGAAATCCGGCATTTGTAATATTCAGTTCGCTGATTCTGTGAACTACACCTCCATGGCTAGTTCGGGGATTTCCCAGTTTGCCACGTTTGAATGTTATCGGGCGTCCAAGAATTGGGAAAACATGGAGGGTGATCCAAGAAACATTCTAAAACAGTGTAGGGTGTAGGAAGTCAATGTACCAGATACAAGCAACAGTAGCTATGGCACAGTAACAAAGCAGGCCGAGACAGTATCGGAACTGCAGCAGTACGAATGTGTTTTGGCACAAGAAGCAATGCTATGTCTACTCATCAGGACCTCATACGAGAATCTCATACCAGGACATCTAAGAGAATTCAAAAGATATTCAAAGAAGGATCTTCTATATAGAGGATCTCAAAAGATCTTCAGACAAGAACTTCCTATGAGCATCGCAGAATAACTGTCAGACAAGCACCAACGCAGAGCATCTTCAAGGTCTTAATGCAAGAACCTCCTGAAGAGGATTGAGACAGCATCTCCACAAGATCTTCTCCCAAGGGCCTGTACGAGATCATGCAAGCACACCTAGAGGATTTCACCCGGACCTCAAGATCTGCCCACAAGGACCTGTGCAAGATCATGCAAGGACCTCTGAGAGGATTTCACCAGGATCTCTACAAGATCCTCGCACAAGGAATTGCAAAAGACCTTGACCATGGTCTTGATGCCAGGACCCCGAAGAGAACGTCACAAGATCCTCATAAATGGACCTGCTGGAGGGGGATTAACCAAGATCGAGACGAATCCCAGAAGAGCTTTCATACAAGCGCCTAATACAAGCAGTGGAAATGCACATGGACCGTCTTCTAAAAGTGGCTACCCCGAATCCACCGGTTAATCATGTTGATCGCCATTTTCTCTACAAGCCAGTTGGGAGCATAGCCCATTTTCAGCCACACAGCCGGTCCCGTATGATTGCTGGGTGAATATTCATCCCATTCCCCTAATGTCGAACACCCAGCAAAAACATTGGCTTAGTAGGGATCTGCATGGATTTACTATTATTTGGGGACGTAGAACCGGGGTGCTTAATATTCGGGGGATCGGGATCATGAGTATATATCATTAAAGACTATTGTATAATATCATAGGTTATATATTGCTTCTTATTAATTACATACTAATATATATTATTATTGCTATTCCTATTATATAATATCCTTACATCTTGTTTGTTGGTGTTATTCCCATGATTGTTGGGTAAATCCCCATCAAAAACACCCAAAACTATCACCTTTATGGAGTGTGAAAATCTGGACAAGTGAAGCCCGTCACCTGTCGATGCACTGCTGCGTCTTCATCATAGGCCTCAACCACGTCCTGCGTTGAGGACAAAAAACTGAAGGTCTTGGGAAAACGTAGATGAAATTTACTGAACTTACCTCGTAGTTCCACGGATTCCAGCTTCCCTTCCCTATTTCGGGTTGCAAACTAACCAGCAAACAGCAAACATGGAGACTTTAACCTATGGAGAGACACATGGTAGGCAATGCTTTGTCCACATAGTCAAGGTTTATTCCGAAATAAGGAGTGGAATCCTTTTTATGGTAGTCCAATGTGGTATTCAAAAAGGAATATACAATGCATGTCATGGATTTGATGATTATTCAAATGTCTAAATCATCATGTTTTGGGGTTTTCAAATTTTGAACAAAATCCAAAATTGACGAGCAATGCAAATTTTGGAAAATTGTTGAACAATAAAATGTTGGCAAACAAGGATCCCCAATGTAAGATCTCCACAGAACCCCGCCGAATCTGGTTCTGCAGTTTGTGCATCTGAGGGGAACCATGCATAAAGAAGATGCCAATAATGGTGAAAAAAATGGAAGGTTATCTCTGAAACCACTTGAGATCGAAGCTCCAACCCAACCATAGCCCGACATGTTTAACATTTTGAGGATCATTACCCATGTCAACCTCGCTAGGGAATTTATGAATTGTCGCCAATGATTCAAACAACTGGAAACGAATCAAAACTGGGGGCAAAACATTGAATTAAAATATTTGCCACTACAATAACAGTTGTTTTGGTTGCATTGTCCTTCTTATGAGTAAATCCCCATATTAGGTGGTTCAAAATCTAAATCCTAGGTCCTAAACATGTTTTTACATATTTAAATCACGACTTTGTGGTTCATAACCCATTCATAATTCATTTTTATGTATCCACGCACAACAAAATGGTGTGTTGTTCCTGTTGGCCCGATATATTGGAATTAGAAATTTGTCCCAGACTAGGAACACCGGTTTCAGCCAAGACTTGCCATATAAATTGGGAAAATTGCCCGGGGGGGGGACCATTCCCGCAGCCACTTGGGTCCTGCATGGTGTGTTCATTCCTTGGACGGCACTTGGGAAAATCCACTGAGACTTGGGAAAACTATGTAGGTCAAAGATGGTGAAACAACAAAAATCTTCGGTTTAGCATGAAACCATGTTTCACCAAATTTTCGGATTATAAGAAGTTTTTCATCACCATCGCTGGGTAAATTTGATGGCCTTACAGAATGCAACCCTCCAAATATGATGGGACCTATACAAAGCTCTCTGTTGAATGTGACAAACCACCTGTTGGTTCTATCTTTTTGGGGGATGCCTTACCATCAGGGTCTTCATATTCAAGTTGACATGTGGAGGATGTCAATCCCTATCAGACAGACCCAGTCTGAGGTGTATCTGAATTTCACCAGCAGAAATAGAGTTTTAAGCAACGAAGAAAATTGCATTTAACCAGCCAACATGGAGATTTTGTCATCAAAAACATGGGTTTAACTAGCGAGTAGTGGATTTGAACGCGCCTGAAAATGCCAAAACCACCCTCGGCTAAGGGGAGGGAAGAGACTGATCAGACATACCGCCCACATGGATCCAAATGGAAATGTTTAAATTTAAAATAAACAAAGACAATGATGATAACAGTGCAACGTTGGGATATCGCGCCCTAATGTCTTTTTTGCCGTGCTAGCGCGCGTGTTCACCCCTAAAACCTCTCGAGTTCCGAAAAACAGTTCAAAATAAATTCAAACCATTCATGCAAAATTTGGAATCTGCCGGTATTTTGGTTCTGCCAGAAGCGCGAAATCCAGCCCAGTGAAGCCCGCATCGTCACAGGCCCGAGGCTCCAAATTGGCACCAGCTGCTTCACTTCTTCCAAAAGCTGCTGCATCTTCAAAACCTGCGGCGGCGCATCGCTCAGGGTGGCCTTGCTGGACGAGGCGGGCAGATGCCGGACACAACTTGGAGCATGGCAATTCCTCAGCAGGCTGCAGAAACACGAAGCATTCCGATGCAAAGGCGCAGATCCAATACGTAAAAATTGAGTCAGGAACGGAGTAATTACGTTTCTGTAATTGAGCATGGCAATCGGAAATCCCCATGTTTAATTGGATAATCCCAAGGTGATCGTTGCGAATAGTCACACCGTTTTCTGCATGACAGCCAAATCAATCTCTAGAATTCTCTGGATGATTTCTTGACGCTAACCGAATGTTACACGTTTTGGTGGGCAGGTGAAACATGAAATCTTGCACCCCGCCAGGCCGCCAGGTGAATATTCACTCAGATGTTCCACCAACAATTTGCCCCAAGCTACATGCTACAATACGAAGCATGAAGAAAAGGGGTGTGGGTCCAGGGCAAGTTCAGGTTTCATATCCTTGAAACGGCCTCTTTTGTTGGCCCCTGGATGTTTCCTGAAAAGTCACGAAAATTTGAAAAAACACCACTCAGCTTCAAAGTCTGCCACGTACCTCCAGTAAACTAAGTTGGCTATGAAGCATGTTCCATAAAAACAGATCGTTGACCTAATTTCAATGGCGATTCCCATGCTCAGGCCATTCTCAACATCCAGGTGTCAACACCCTGGGCAAAAGGTCTCCGCTTGTAGTAGATTGCTCATGAAGTACCGACATCAGATATATATATATATACATATATATATATATAGAGATATATATATATATGTGTGTGTGTGTGAAACCTTGTACCTTCTGAAATCACCATGGTTAAAAGAGGTAAAACATCGAAGCAAAGGGACCATGGCTTCCAGAGCTAACTGAGTTTAGTCAAGGGTATGTTGGTTGAGGTTGCTCTTGAGTCAATATCTCCATGAGTTTCTTGGAGCGGTTTTTTCAGCAGGGCTGGAAGGCACTGGAAGGTCATCGGGAGCAAACCCTCCAAGTCAGGATTTACAGTATCTATCCGGGCTTGACATTACAGATTTCTATCTGCATGACGGGATGATACTGCATGTATCTCCGGACTTCGTCGCGCAGTTGCCGAACCTTCAACCCCATGTCCCCACCAATCCCCTCTGTCACCATTATTCCGGCAACACCATGCAACACCATGCAACACCACCTTCATTTTGGTGTGAAGACACATTTTTTGTAGTTGTCCAATATGTTTTTGTTTGATGCCCCATCTTTGTTTCTTTGTATCCTCACTCTTACTGCTCGAGCCACCCATATTCGCGAAAATGTGCGTGTCCTATCATTTCCTTGTGATATCCCCCAGCAAATCCGTCTATGGCCAAGAAAGAAAAATCATGTCTTCCCATTCAAAAACTGCTTAGATTTCACCAGTCGAAGTTCCTGCTTTGAGGCATATACCACCAAAATATTCTAAATTCAATTCAAGTGTCTTTTTTTTGGCCACTTCAATACATTCGTGGTTGAGATCCTCTTTTCAGCAACAACAAGTAACGTAAAAAGTTTGTCCCATTTGGGGTCAAGTGCGACCCGATACATTTGGCCCAAGAAAAATCCCTGGTGGAAAGTGGCGTGAAATCTTAAAACATTCTTTGACGGCAGAACTACCCTCTGGTAAACTAACATAACTATGGAAAATAACCGTTTTTAATGGGTAAATCAACTATAAATGGCCATGTTCAATAGCTTTTTGTATGTTTACCAGAGGGTACTTCCATGTTCGTGAATCAAGCATCGTAATCCCATTCTTGGCGCTGATTTCATCGTTGTGATCCCAATTTCAAGTGGGTCAAAACAAATTCGGGCCGAAAATCACCATTTCTAGTGCTTGCCCTCTGGTAAACGTTTACCTAACGAACTGGAAAACCCACCCATTTTAATGGGTAAATCAACTATTTCGACTGGGCCATTTTCTGTATGTTTACCAGAGAGTAAATCCATAAAATCCCCATGTTTCATCCATAAAATCCATAAAATCCCCATGTTTCTAGTGCTTAAATCCATAAAATCACCATGTTTCTAGTGCTTAAATCCATAAAATCCCCATGTTTCTAGTGCTTAAATCCATACAATTCCCATTTTTGTTCATGAAAAAACAATCCCCACATCTTCGCAGCTTCCAGCAGCACCTGCTCTTTCAACTTCTCGGCGTCGCGCATGGCGGACACCAGATGATCCACCACGCTATCCATGCAGATCTGGCGAAACGAGAACCGGAAAGGACAGGATGCCGGAGGGTTTTCCCCAAAAAAGATCCATGGATCTCCGGAATACTTATATCTTTGTATGGGTATATATATATATGTTTATTTATCTATGTATTTACTTATTTATATATTTATTTATGTACTTATTTATGATTTATCTATTTACTTATTTACTTATTTATTTATTTATGTGTGTGATATACTATATTAAATAGCGTGTATATTACATTTCAACACAGCATAATATTATATATGTATGATATATTATGATATATAATGTTTGATATCACAGAATGTCCCAGTAAACCAGTTCCGACAGTTCCTGAGGGGCCTATCCTTTGAAACACCATTGTCCTTTTAGCAATATACGTCTTGAGTCAAGTAAAATCACCGCGGTCCTCACACTCGAGGACTGATGACTAGCCACAGATTTCGATCATGGATCATGGGGACTTGTCCTGTAGATGTTCCTGGATCCACTTCTGGCATACCCTCTGGTAAACGTTTACATAACTGGAAAATCCACTCACTACTTCTATGGCTCTATGGGCCATCTTCAATAGCTTTTTGTTTGTTTACCAGGCCGGGTAGAATGGAAGAACCATGTGAATCAACCAGGTCCAAACCCTCACTGAAGCTTTGGTGAAGATAGAATTTTTCCCCGTCCTTGTTAAAGATCTGGGACTCAAAAATTACAACGCGCGTTGTTAAGAAATGAACCACGTGGGAGTCCAGGTACCCTATGTTGGGCCTCATGATGATGTCCTGGTGGTACAAATGATTTGATTACAGTAGTTGCAGATAAACATGTTGCTTTCCCTGGAAAATAACCCCCTATCATTCTGCGTATCACTTCAAAAAAAATCCCAGTTAGCAAGCAGCTTCATTTGTTGATTTGGGGTTCAGCTTCATGTTCTATCCTCAATCTCCCAACTCTGGTTTCAAGTTGTGATAAATCCCCAGAACATCTCCAGCCCCCAAATTGTGCCAGGGTTGCTCCAAACACCCCCAGCTACGTAGCTGAAGTGGTGTGTTTGTTTTTTGGGGGGTAAATATATGATACCCTCTGGTTATGACTAACATAGCCATAGTATAGATGGCCCATAGATTCATAGATGTTTCTTGATGATTTACCTCTTAAAAATGGTGATTCTCCAGTTCGCAAACCGTTGAATGACCAGCGAAACCTGCGTTCTCTTCTCCATCGGCATGGATGAAGGCAAACGGCCCTCGGTGTTTTGTTTATAGGCGAAATCCTTAAACGGGATTTATCACTTGGAATATGTTTGAAATATGTTTGGTGAGATATACAATGGATAAAAAGGTGATATATATATATAATTATATAATATGGGATAAGTTGAGAAATAACTTAGGTGAAAATAGTGATTGCTGTTGGAATCAAGAAGGGGCTGGAAATAACTTGATTTTTGGGCTACGCAATGGATTCTCAAGAAATTTGCTTCGCCAGGGAACCAAAATCTTAGCTACTAATTGGGGTTAGCCACTAAATATGAAGGAATTGCTTATTGTTCGAAGCCTCTTCCACGGCGATGGATATGAACTCAGGTATTCTGGTGGATATCCAAAAAATGAAGTAGTCCGAGTTCTACAGATTCGATGGTTAGCTATACCCTCCGCAAATCAAACATGGTTGGCTGGAAAATCTGGAAACTGAGAGAGGATTTTCCCATCAAAACCTTTATGTATAGGTGATTTCCTATTGCCACGTTTGATTTCCGAAGGATACCCTGTTTTAGCAAGTCGATTTGTCTCAAGATATGGTACCCAATTGTTCACCCCATTTTCAGACAGACCCCATTTGGGGGTCAGTCCGCAAAGGAAAATACAGAGATGGAAAACCAGCTGGTTTGGTGCTTTCCATAATTATCTATGTTACCCCTTTTTGTGTCAACCATGGTATTTCATGGTCCAGGCTTGCTGTATGTACATATTTACATGTGTATACATGTATATATACATATATATATATGTATATATCAGGATGTATAAACCATGTTAAACCCCAAGTTTTGATGGTTCAACCGTCATTGTTGACGTCAAAAAAAAAGTTGGTTCAACACCATGCGGAGCGGGGCGGCCGTCGGCCGGACCGAACCCCCTCTGCGAGGCGAGGATGGAGTGAGGGAAGCATGAGCCAACGGAACGAGCGGTAAGACTAAGACACGAAGAGCCGAGTAAGCCAGACTTCTCGAGATATTTTCCCACGGTGAAAACACCTTCTTCATTGTTGAAAAGCCCACCATTGATGGCCAACCCCACATCTCTCCCCTAGACGAGGCGCTGTGAGCTCTTCCATGCTTTTCCCCAACACCTGAGGAGCGTTCATGGGCAAAAATTGATAACATCTGAGGAGCCAACATCCGCACCAAACTTGTTCACTCGGTATTTCTGTTTCTTCATTTTTTTGAAAGTTGCCATAAGATCTAATATAATCCCCAAATTGCTGACATGTTAGCCGCCTTTGTGTCACCAAACATGGCGTGCTTGATTTTCCCAGCGAACTAAACCTGAAAAAACCTTCGTTTACAGACGATTGTCCCACGAAAAAATCCCAAGAAATCCATCATTTTTCGGCCATGTCAATGTATAGCTCCGGGATTTTCCAGCCTCGTCCACCACGCGGCGCGCAAACTCCACGCCGTGCACCGCCTCGCGAGACTTCTCGGAGTTGACCAATTTTTATAGTGGATCTAAGACTATCTAGTCATACACATGTATATATATATGTGTGTGTGTATATATTTATATAGTTATATTATGATGCTGATGATGATGATGACGATGATGATGACGATGACGATGACGATGACGATGACGATGATGATGATGATGATGATGATGATGATGATGATGACAGGAATATATTATGAATCTGGGATATCTATTATCTAGCGATATTATATATGTATGGGAAATATCTAGGGATACATATGTATATATATATATTGTATGTCTAAGGCAAGAGATTGACAATCTATCAATATATATATATATATAATTCTTGTGGATCTCCTGATGAAATACAGCAATGGGATACGTATCAACTATCCAAGTCACCATGAAATCATAGAAGCGACGGGAATTGAGTGGAATCAGAGGTGTTGGTTTTTAGCGCACTTAGCGTACCTTAAGACCAAGTGATTGCAAATGTCCACTGGTTGGTGGTTGAGCCCAATCCCTCTGAAAAATATGAGTGCGTCAGTTGGGATTATGACATTCCCAATATATGAGTTCGTCAGTTGGGAATATGACACTTCCAATTTCCAATATATGGAAAGTCATAAAATTCCATGGTTCCAAACCACCAAGCAGTGATTAGGTACCTGAATATCCTGTCTTGGATCGAAGCCCCGGGGCGACACACAAAAGCCCATGGAAAATCCCATGGAAATAATGGGTAAATCAACGAACTTTCTATGGTCATTTTTAATACCTGAATAGTTGATGGCTAGTTGAATTATGGGAATTTTATATGAATTTATTGGATATACCATGGAATGTCAGTATGTCCATACCATTCCATACCAATTTGAGCTTAGAAATGGGGATTTATCCTTTTTGTAAATGGGGATTTGATTGGATATTTATGGTATTTTGATGGGATGTATGACGGGATGTATCATGGGTTATCTTCTGATAAAGTTTACAGTTCACTAAAAAAAGATCCAAGCCATGTTGATATAATGGGTAAATCAACGAAGATTCTATGGCCATTTTCAATAGCGAACTGTTAGTTTACCAGAGGGTACCCTCTGGTAATTTAACATAGCTATGGAAAATCACCATTTTTTATGGGAAAATCCACTATAAATGGTCATTTTCAATAGCTATGTTAAATTACCGGAGGGTAAGCCATTTAGATTGATGGGATACCAACTCGACTCGAGGCCTCCTCTGACTCATAGTACCTGGCGATTTTTTTCCGGAAAAATCCACGGAAAAAAAATGAAAACATCACCCCAAAATCCATGGAAAATGCTGGGAAATCCCGACTGGAAATGGGAACATTTATTGGATTATCATGGGACTAACTGGATTATTTTTAATGAACTTTCACGGTTTAGCCAGGTTTGTGTTATGTTTTCTTCATATAAAGACCCGACAACTTGAAGACTTGAATAATGTGTCAATCGAAAAGGGTACTAATGAAAGGGGGTCTCCCATGAACCCTGAAAGTTCCGACGTCGAAAATTCAAAGAAAAAAATATCTGCTAGCTGCCAATTTTCCAAGATATCCATGATATCTCTTCCATGATGTTTCTATATGTGTTCCACGGAATTTCCCATAGTTTTCCCCAAATTTTCCCACCGGGATATCCCATCAGTTTTCCCCGGATTTCGGCACTGCAACTTCTTGTAGAGCTCCGGCAACAATTCCACGTCCGCAGTCCGCCGCTCCATCTCCTCACGCACCTTTTTAAAGAGCTGAAAGGTTGACCTCTCGAAAAACCAATCCAATGATTTCGAGTCTGTTTATCTATGTCTCTATATATATATGTATATATATATATATATGATTGTATGTGTATATATATATATGTATACATATATATATATATGTATATATATATATATGTATATATATATGTATGTCTATATATATATATATAACATATGTCTGTATGAGTATGGCGGCAACCAGCGAACCGGGCCGTGAACCGGCAAACCGTGGCCGTACGGCTGCCCCCCTCCACGGTTCCACGGTTCCACGGTTCCACGGCTGAGCCGTGAAACCGTGGAGGCCAGCTGTGACCGTGCCTTCCGCAGTTCGTTAACTTCATATTTATTTGCCAGTAGTACCGCACAAGCGGTTGCGGAAGTTTTAAAAATAGGAAACTTATAAGAGATTGGTTGTTGTGAATCAAGGATGGCAGACCGAATCCACTGATGGACCGAAAGGTGCTTGAGGTCTTCTCTCTTTCTCTCTCTTTCTCTGACTACCTACCTACCTATCTACCTACCTATCTATCTTCAATGTATCTATTTATCTATCTATTGATCTATGTATCTTTCTCTCTGTCATCTAATTACCTATCTATCTATCTATCTATTTATCTATCTATCTCTATCTCTATCTCTTTCTCTATCGCTATCTCTATCTCTATCTCTATGTCTATCTCTCTCTCTCCCTCTCTCTTTTTCATCTGTCTATCTGTCTAGCTGTCTACCTATCTATCTGTCTATCTATCTATCTATTTATCTATCTATCTATCTATCTATCTGTCTATCTGTGTAACTGTCTATCATGTAGTATGGTGAAGTGTACTTTAGTGTAGTGGAGTGTAGTGGAGTGTAGCGAAGCGAAGTGAAGCGACACCTGAACCTCCAAAAGTGGTGCGAACCCCTGGTGTTTTACACAGTTTGACTTCGAAATGTGCTTCGCGACACAACAGCGTGCACTTGTTCGACATCTGAACTTCCAAAGGTGGTTCGAACCCCGGGTGTTTTTAACATGTTGACGTGGAAATGTGCTTCTCGCCACAACGGCGTGCACTTTTTCGACATCGCAATTTCCAAAAGTGATGCGACCATGGTGTGCTTTGTACATTTTGACTTGGAAATGTGCTTCCCGCCATAGCGACGTGCACTTTTTCAACATCTCAACTTCCAAAAGCGGTCCGAGGCTGAGGCGTCTTGTACATTTTGACTTGGAAATGTGCTTCGCACCACAACGGCGTGCATTTTTTCGACAGCTCCAGTGCCAAAAAGTGGTCCGCACTTAATGTGGTTTGTACATTTTGACATTAAAATGTGTTTCGCGCTACAACGGCGTGCACTTTTTCATGTCTCATCTGGCCAGCTGGCTCCGCACCCGCCGCTTTAGCAAGCCTACTTTTCGACCCTCCTGAGCCACAAATCATTGTAAAAACACAGTGAATCACGACTTTCCTACCTTTTCGGGCATCTGCATCTTCGTTCTTCTGACTCTTTCTCTTCGACTCTTCTCTCTTCTAATCTTTCTGCTCTCTGCCTCTGCCCTACTCTGCTTTTCATCTGTCCATATTGTCGGAAGTTTGATTTCTAAACTTCCTTCGATAATATTCCATTTTTACCAGTCAAACATTTATAGATGGCTCCAAGGCTTGAACTGCAAGGCTCCATTTCTGTCCCATGGCGAAATGCACGCTGCGCGGCATGTTTTGTCGGGCCAACTTTGCGCCCAGCGAGTAGTTTCCAGCTGTAGCAAATTGTATCGCCATGAACTGCCCTCAATCACAAAACCCACATTGGGATGCAAAGGGCGGATCTTCGATAGAGAAAAAAAAAATATATATATAATATGTATCTATAAATATATTATGACTCCGTGTCACGGTCTACGTTGAGACTTTACCTTTGACGAGGCTTCGAACATGCAAAAATATGGCATAGATCGGTAGCTTCATGTTTGTTGGCAATCTCAAAGCATAAAGCCAAATGTTTTATTGTATATCTCAGGTGGTTACACGAGTACAATACATTAGCCAGTTGGGAGTCATTATATCAACCATATCATAGCATACCGAATTTGTGGTTCATCGTTCGGTGTAGCAGAGTAAGATGAGCATGATCCTTGCAACCCGCAGCTAGCACCACCGAGAAGGAATCTCATTAGAAGCGTTTGGAAAAACACAAAACCATGTTGTTTGTAAACGATGGTTGCCAGTATCCAATCTTTGATCTCACATACACATGCATGGATGTCACGAATCCATATTGTGTGAGAGTAAAGTACAGATATACACATACATTCATTTATCCATGGATTCAATGTGATTACTATCAATATGTGATATTTTAGACATGTCTCTCGAATTTGCTGGCAGCAGCAGTTCTCGGTGTATGTCGCTTTGGCATAGAGTCATATGATCAAGTTCAGTTCGCGCTCACAGCTACAGACTCGCAGACTGTGCAGAACGTTTCTACTAATATCATTCTCATCATTGTCTGAAGAATATCAAAAGAATATCTAGTTTGTAGAATATTAGAAATCATACATCACCATTGTACACGATGATAGTAGTAACTTCAAGCTGAATAGTACAAGTTACATCCATCGATTATAGATGATTTTACCATAAAAATTATCATTTATAGGGCATTTCCCAGCCATTTATAAGGGATTTATTAATTACTATATAACCTTCAAGCGACTTGGCTGAAGATCAAGACCGCTCTTCTTGTCAGTGCGGGGAGACGACCTCCTGCGATGGTGAGATCATCTCATGAATCATAAATAGGTAAAAACTCTGGAGAGGAACTCACCACTCAGTGGTTTATCATAGCTGATGATAGGTGATGATAGTTTATGATAGTTGATCATAGTTCATCCCATCTATCAATCGATGAACTAACCCTGGTGACCAGAAACTAGGTCGGATGATCGTCACCTAAATTGACGCCCCAGAAATCACTGCGAATGGATGAGTGCAAGACCCGAAGATTCATCCCCTTGCTTGTCAATGAATGTATATTTTTATCGCGTTACAAAAAAATGTAATTAATATACCCATCTACACTTGCTTCAGTACTAACATTTTACATGGTCAACAATATTAAACAAAAGGTCAAACGATGCTAAACTTGATTTTGTCATGGCAACACAACCAGTTAAAACTCCTATTGTGGAAGGAATTTTCAATTTGAAACCCATGTTTTTGCCTTACCCTTATCTCTCCTCCAGGTCGCTCTCGTTCGCCTCATGTCACTACCGCCACCCTGGCAGCACCTGGGCAAACCCATCGCATACTGTTGGTGATATATCTCACTAATTACAGTATATACAACAAATGCATCTATAGTACTATAGTCTATATCTACTATATATCATATGTATAGATATCATATACCTATAAATCGCATAAATGAACTAATTTCATAGCCACAATTTTGTCGTTTCAATTCTTTTAGACCATATCTTTCTCAATGAAGTCTAATTGAACCATATACTATATCCCACAATGTTTTGTCCGCTTCATCTCCAATGTTTCGCAGCAAAATCACTGGCTGTTCATTGTAAAAACTACCCGAGTTGATAATTATGCTAGGTCTTATGTTCCAATATGGGTCGTATTTCATGGGATTATGTCTAATTCGATGGGATCTCCATGTTTTTATGTTCCAATCCCATCCAATCACACAGACTCAGTCATGTTTCTTGGTCAAATTTAATAAAATCGTAACAAAAATCATGTTCATCGCTGCTGTTTCATGGTTGCATCCAATGAAATCATAAAGATTATGGTTAAATCAGCCAAATCCTATGAAGTCACCATTTCTTTGGTTAAGCCATCATGAAACGTTCAGATGGTGAGGAAACATAATTCGACATTTACCGCCGGCCTTCGCATAAAGTGGCAATCAAAGAAAGGCATCCAACTGCGAAACAGCACCCCAACGACGCCGCAGTGGTCGCAGTGTCGATGCGACAGGTCTACGTTTGGCATGGGGATAGGCGGTTGCAAAATGGTAGCTGCTACCATGGACCGTATGAAAAGCATGAACATAATGTGATTAGTTCAAAGGTTGATCAATGTTTCAAAGACCGTACGCTGTGGTTTGAAAGTTGCCTATCTTAAATGCAAAAGCCGGACGTAGCAGGCAAGCCGTGCATGGGCCAAAATTGCTCCCGTTGATGTGGATGATCGTCATGTGCAGGAAAATAGTAATTGAAATCTTAGATTCAGACAAGTGAGTCGCGGCAAGACATCATCTTCCACAGTGGCTGCTGACGTCGTCTTAGTGCCATCATGCTGGGTCATGTTACAATCATGCTGCGCAGTCAAAATATTCAGATGTCACAGAAATGGCTTACCGCGAGCATGTCGAGATAAACTCTGCCCCCGCAGGCAAGATGGAGGGCTCGGATAAAGCACCAGCGAAGAAAATGACAGTAAAAAAGCGTCAGGATGGAGAGACTGTTTGGGGAAGAATTGGGTGGCAGCGGTTGCAGAGAGGGTAGTTGGGATGCAGCGCAGGACGACGCGTAGGGAAGAAGTCGCGAGATAGAGTGATACACGCACGACAGCCATGAGGACACGACAGTGCGAGAAAAAGGTGCGGTCACCACGCGCAAAAGCAATGTAAAGATAGATTTTGGATGTGCGGAGAAATGCCGCGACAAGTTTGCAAAAGCAAGTAATGATGCGTTTCGGAAACAAAGCAAGAAGGCACTTCTTTTTGGAGTATTTGGACCGAAAGCAGGAAGCGCGTACATTGCAGCACAACATAGTCTCTACGAACACACACCGCGGTTGTTTGCAGCTTCGCCAATTGAAAATGCGTGCGGCCGCGTGGAAAGAATTACTACGAGGAATTTTGTCGCATTGCAGTGGAACAACACACTCACAAACCGTGTAATGAGATTGCGATCTCGCAAGTGGTAACTGATTTGCGCAGGACGCAAAAATGTACGATAAAACGTACCGGAGAAG